AGAACATCTTTTCTTTACTTGCCCTTTCAGCCAAGATTGTTGGGATACCTTACATATTTATTGGAACACAAACTTAGAACCGCTGGACATGGTCATTGAAGCAAGGACAATCTTTGGTCACTCTATCTTTAGGGAACTCATGATAACAGCTTGTTGGATCATTTGGAAAACTAGAAACAATATCATCTTTGACAATGGAGACTACAATTTGTCGACCTGGAAAAGGCTTTTCAAGGAAGAGCTTGGCTTGGTTTGTATCAAGGCCAAGGCAGCAACGAAGGGTCCACTATCCCTTTGGAGAGACAACTACTCTTGATGTTGTACTTCTATTTCTTTTGGGCCTGGTTGCCTTGTATTTTAGTCTTAGCTCTAACAGTAGCAGTAGTTGTAGTTGCTGCCTCCCTTCCCCTCCTTTCTCCTCTTGTATATGTGGCTCTTTTGTACTTTCTCTTATTAATGAGAATCAAAAAATAGGTAGGGAACTCCCCTCTTAACCTTTCAAAAAAAATAACTAACCATATAGAAAAAGAAAGAAAAAAACACATCCGTCCACTAATGTCGCGTGGCCGTGTGTGGCTAGGAGATATCAGCCCCTGGCAGCCGATTACTCTATCAGCAATGATAACACCCATGTCGATGGGTGCTCGTACTATGTGAGGCCCCCTATCGGCAATCCAAACGCCGACAGGTTCATATCGACTCCTGGAACGCCGATTAGACTCTTATCGGCTTCTAGTTCGCCGATTGACACTTAAATCTGTAATTTTATTATTATAGCTTATAGATCTACAATTAATTACTAAAATAATATTATTTCAAAAAAATACCTTTTAGACGACGGTTCTACGCTGATTGATTGTCTCCGCATTCAATTTAAGCGCGTGCGATTTTTTTTAAAGGAATAAAAACTTAAGCGCATGCGAGTGCCGTCATCACATCTCAGAACAGCGAAAAATCAACTGTTGTCTGAATTACTACACAGGTGGTTATTAACGTGGTAGGAAGTGCATGCATGCATTGCAGCGAAAACATATATATAGATTCCGCTTCTAGGTAATACCGGCATAAGATATATGGCTCGTTTCTACAAAAAAAAATATTTTACTACTTGTATATGATCCGTGTAACCATGTTGTCAAAGTTCGACAAAAAAAAATTCAGAGCTTCGGCTTTTATTTGACCGCGCTTAATCTTCAAGCCAGGACAGACGACATGCGGGACCGCTACAGGTACAGCCTTCCCTGGTTCTCTTGATCCTCGCTTAATCTCAATCGCAAAAAAAAAATCCTCACTTAATCTCGGTGACCTGACCCTCCTCTCTGTTCTGACTTCTGTTGCCCATTCCTGGAGAAATTCTCTCCTTTCGTTCACATTCGCACACCGCCGCCAACATCAGCCCATGGTATCTCTTTCTCCTCGCTCGGCTCTCCCGGCCGTCATGCATGCACGCGCCGCCGTCGTTGCATGGTCGCCGCGCGCGTATTAGAGGCCTTCGCCTTAGATGCGTCTCCAATTATCCATCCTCGATCGTCCTCGTGGCGCTATGCACTACCATGTACCATCGCCCTCACTGAATGAGAGATCCACGGGTCGGGCTAGACTATTCGTCGTAAGCAGACAAGCAGAGGATACGTGGCCGTATATTGAGATTCCACGGTATGGATTGGGCGAAAACACTCAGAGAGGGGGCCCCAGACGATGGGCCGGGAGAAATATAATGAGCACCGTTTTCAAAACTAAAACGAATTAAGGGAGATGTTGAAATTTTACACGACATCACACAAAGCGAGAGATAGGATGAGAAGGAGAAATTCTCGTTAAAGAAAAAGGTGATGAGAAGAAAAAATAAAGAACTTTTTCTTTTTTTTCTAAAGGAAACCTTTCCTTTTATCTACGTTGTGAACTTGTGAGCTCTGTACGTACTCCTACACGCTTGGCTTATCCCCAATTTTAAGTGAAAGGGTTTAGGGTTAGGCTAAATCACTCATCCGTAGGTCTAATTAAATTACCTTTGAAAATATAGTAACTAGAAAATTAACTCTATGTGTTCCAAAACACTGCAGATTTAGTCAAACTTGAGATGCTTTTAACTCTCGAAGAAAACTAGAATGACTTATATTTTGTAAAGGGGGAGTAATAAGACTACACTGCTTTTGCAAGTCATTTCGACCCTCTATGAAGCTATTGCTCTACTCCCTTCATCTCTAAATGTTTGTCGTTTTTGCTTTCCGAGAAACAACTTTGACTAAATATATATTAAAAAATATTAATATTTATGATACATAATTAGTATCATTGGATAGATATTTGAATCTGGTTTTTAATAAATTTATTTAGAGATAGAAATGTTGCACGTATTTTCTATAAATCAAGTCAAAGTTATCGGCACGAGGGAGCATGAGACATGACAATTGCATGATGCACATGGGGTAGATGTGGACGTCAGAGCTTCACGACACATTGCGGGACGCGTCGGGGCTGGGGCTGTCCTCAGGACGGAGCTGGTAGTACTTGCCTCGATCGCGTACCACGTCCGCACCCCGCGCATCGTCATCTCTCACGTAATATTTGTGACACAACGCAAACGGGCCCGGGGGCCAAAAGCGTCGATCGTGGTGACGAAGGGAAGACATCATCCGCGCGCGACGACTGCGCAACCCAACGGCGTTGCACCAAGCGAGGCTCAGAAGGAATCGAGTGAAGGCTATATATACCTGTGGTAGTTCCTCGTGGCTGCCCAGGTTTGAAGATATTGAGCACGTTCTGACGCTCGTTAAGGTCAAACCAAAGCCAAAAGCTCTCGATTCGGTCGTCAGCATGAAACATCACAAACAAAGATAGTGACGACCTCGGTACATCCGGAACATGTGATTGTATAACCGAACCTTACCTGATATATATATATTCTATCTAGAAGCCCAATCTGGATGGATTTCTCAGGGAGTCAGGGGTGACTTTGTTCTACGCGCCCCAACAGCTTTCACAGTTTCACCCAAGGAAGTATTTTATTTATGCTCAGCTAGCAGTACCCACCTGGCTGCAGTTGCATATAATTTTGTGCGAGAGGATGAAATTCCAGAGAGCATGCATTTCACCGATTTTGAGTGATATTAGGGAGCTTAGTGCTGTCTTTCTTAAATTTTCTCTAGTATACACCAATCGTTCTTGTAATCAAGTAGCTCATGTCTTGGCTAAGCAAGTCTCAGATGATAACTGGATGTCAGGATGTATGGGTGAATGGCAATCAGCCCCAGCCTGTATTATTCATCTGCTGACTGAAGATTGTAATCCTGATGCTATATAATCAATAGAAGCTCTTTGTCGCAAAAAAAGATATAATTCTTTTTTCCCTCTCGACTGACATATTACCTAAAAAAGTAACATCATTAAATTCTTAAATAAATTAGAAAAATGCGAACACCTAAGTTAGAGAATTGATCTAGAACCAACTATAGACAAGTTACACCACAAGCAATCTAATTAACCAGTTGAGCCTTTTTTTGAGACAAGCATTAACCAGTTGAGATATGCTCTATCGGTTCACTAGAAAAAAGATATTGATTTGGTTAGATTTTAAATGGTTTGATCCAGTATTTGAAAAGTTGGACAATGCTATGGTACTGTTACTAGGAGGTTACTTTAAACACATCTGAATCCTTGTTTTTTAAGGATAAATATATAATAGAATACATTTATGTGGTATCTTAGAGAGCATGTACAGACATCCGTACATGCTAACACGTTTTGCACAGCTACACGGTAACATGTACCTGTAATCACTTTCAAAATCACCTGTAGCAATACGGCAGCACGGTAGACCTAAGCGTCTTTACCATGTAATTAGGTATATGGAAATACAGCAACACATAGGTCTCGTTTGAAAGAGTTCTCACTGACTCAAGCTTTTCTGACGCATGCACTCACATGAGCTCTTTTCTCTCATCCTCTCACAGAGCTGGTGGAGCCAGTTTTTTTCCTTCACCTAGCTTCACCGGCTCTGTGAGAGGAGGGACGAGAGAGAAAAAAGAGCTCCTATGAACAAAAGCTGGAGCTAGTGGGAGCTCTACCAAACGGGGCCATAATCACGTATAAAATCATATTGTGTGTGAATCAAGTGTATAAGTCATATACAAAATTATATGATATATCATAAATATATCAAGCCAGAAGTTGCAAAATAAAAAAGATTTACCATATTTGTCAAATCATGCATGCATCAATCAAATATAAAAAAAATATATTTTTTCACATCTCAAACTTTCCTTATTTATCCTAGTGTACAAAATAAATAAATAAATATTTCACATATTACATCTGTGAGATAATACGCGATCGTAACCGTCCGAACGAGAAAAAAAAATTAAACGGTTCACGGTTGTTTAGAGTAGACAAAACTCATTTTAAAGTTACACATTTTTGACACATAGGGAATATAGTTCACATTCACACCACACGACTTCTCGCGCCTGAGATGAGCTTCAGCTTCTGCGCCCCCGATCACGATCAGTAGTTAGTTTAGACTACACGATGCCGCCTGCACGAGATAACTGAAACGGCGGCTACGCGAGAGTAGATACGAACTGACGAAGCAGCAGCAGAGTGCGTTCCATTTCTGATTCCCGAGCGACTCCTTCCTGACTTGCTCCCTGGTCTGGTTTTATTCCGTTAAGTTGCTTCCTCCCAACAACCCACGCCATGAGCTAGGTAGGCGATCGAGAAGGCAGCAGGAAGCAGCTGGGTGACACCTGAAGAGGAAAACACATTAGTTACCTGCATACCTTTCTCAACCGGCGCCAGTACAAATACGGATGCGCAGCTGCAGGCCGGCATGCAATCCACTGCAGCAGAAGCACAACACAACACGGGACCTGCTTTCTCTTATCGAGCTTCGGAGAGAACCGTAACCTTCTTCTGCTCCATCGACCAGGCGATCGATCCCATCATCTGGCGTTGCGTTCTGGGTGAACATGTGCGAAGGCGGAAGGCCGGAAGCAGCATCCATGGCCTCGCGCCGTGGACCGCAGCCGGAGCAGGAGGCTGCGGACGGTGGCGGAGGAGGAGCAGAGGCGACACGGAGGAGGCCCAGAGGGTGGCGAGCCGTCGCCTTCATCATCGGTGCGTCGCTAGCTGTTCATCCACGCATATGTCTTCAGCTTCAGTGCTTCAGCAATGGCAACGGGATTAATGTGTGAGTGTGTGCGCGTGCGCTTGGCGTGGCATGGGATGCAGGGGTCTACGCGGCAGCTTATATCGCGGGCAACGCCTTCTCCTTCTCCCTCACCAGCTACCTCATCGGCCGTTACAACATGAAGTAGAACGCCGCCACAAACGTGAACAACGTCTTCTCCGGCACGTTCAACTTCGCGCCCGTCGTCGGAGCCTTCGTCGCCGACGCGTTCTGGGGCAGGTTCAGAACCCTGCTGTTTGGAACCGTGGTCGGAGTTGCTGTAAGTTTTTGCCTTGTGATCGTGTCACATGTTTTCTCTTCAGCGACATTTGCAAACCACCAGTGGAAACACATGACATGTAATGTAACGCATGCATGGCTGATGTGTTTGTTTGTGGCGTCATACAGGCAATGGCGGTTATCACTCTATCGGCGACTATCCATCAGCTTAAACCTCCAACGTGCAGCCCGATGGCACAGCAAGCCGGGACGTGTGTCGCCCCGTCGGCGCTGCAGCGAGCCGTGCTCTACCTCGGCATGGGGCTGCTCGTGGTGTCCGCCGGCGGCATGAACCCGACTAGCCTGCCTTTTGGCGCGGACCAGTTCGACGAGAGGAAAGAGCAGCACAAGGGAGGGCTCACGCGCTTCTACAACTGGTACTACGCCGTCGCCATGATAGCCACGTTCCTGGCGCTCACCGTCGTGCTGTACGTCCAGGTCAACGTGAGCTGGGGCCTCGGCTTCGCCATCCCCACGGCGCTCATGGCCGTCGCCTTCGTGGTGTTCCTCGTAGGCACCAAGGTGTACGTCTACGTGCCGCCCGAGGGCAGCATCTTCTCGAGCGTCGCGCGGGTGTTCGTCGCGTCATGCCGCAAGTGGAGGCTCCCGCTGCCACACCCCGAGGACGCGCGGCGGCAGGAGGAGCTCCTGTACAACCCTCCGGCTGCCGTCGGGAACGGGCGCCGCGTGTTCAAGCTCCCCCTTACTCTGCAGCTCAGCTTTCTAAACAAGGCGGCCATCGTGACCGACGCCGCCGACGAGATATGGCCCGACGGCGCCCCGGCGAGGCCGTGGAACCTGTGCAGCGTGCAGCAGGTGGAGGAGGCCAAGTGCCTCCTAAAGATCATCCCCGTGTGGATCTCCGGCACCCTGTGGTTCACCGTGGTAACGGAGCTGATAAACTACACGTTCCTCCAGGCGTCAACCATGGACCTCCACATGGGGAAGCACTTCACCATCCCGCCGGCATCGATCGTCGCCGTGCTCTACCTCTCCATCGCGCTATTCGTGCCCGTCTACAACCTGCTCATCGTTCGCGCCGCGCAGCGGGTCACCAAGGCAGGACGCGGCATCACCTTGCTCCAAAGGCAGGGCGCCGGGCTGGTGGTCGGCGCGCTGGCGTTCGTGGTCACGGCCGCCGTGGAGCGGAGGCGGAGGCACTCCGCACTGGCACATGGCAATGGCATGTCCCCGCTGTCCGTGTTCCTCCTGTTAGGTTTGATCTCCCACTAGTTAAGCCCAACGGCCTTTTTGGGCCTTGTTCTCGCGCCCTGATCGGGGGCGCCCAACCCTACATAGTTGGTGGGCCCCCGTCGCACAGCGCTATAAAGGAAAGGTGGAGGCCGGGGCTCGCTGTACGAGGTTCACCGTGCCGCCAGTCACCCCACCGATATCCTAACCCTAACCCGATCTTGAGAAGGGGCGCTGCCAGCGACGGGAAGCACCACCGACGCCGGCAACGCCACCCCGACGCACACGTCGCCGCCGAGGACGCCACTGCACCGACTCTTCCTCTCCACCGAACGTCGCTGCCGGCGCGCAGATGGCGTCCGCCAACGAGACCCCGGCTGGTGCTTCGACCACTACGGCCTTCGATGGTCTGCTACCTCTCACTCCCCTTCTCTCTGCCTCTCATGCAAATCTTGAACATGTATTCTATTCCTATGCAAAATGTCTCGATCTGATGAACTTGACTCGTTTGAGTCCTAAGAAAATACCAACAATGGTACCAGAGCTAGGTTCCAAGAAGAAACCGGATCGGGAAAAGAAAATAGAAACAAGAACCCTAGACCTAAATCCTTTCGGATAAGAGAAAACCCTAGACCCAAATCCGAAAGAGGGAAGAAGGGGAAGAAGAAAGAAAAGAAGGGTCGGAACCCTAACCCTAACCCTAGTTTCCCATTCAGATGAACCCGAAAAGAACAACTCAAATCAGAAAGGGGAAAGTGGGGTTAGGGTTAGGGTGCGTCGGATGAACCTTGGCCGGCGCGGGAGAAGAAGCCGAGCCAGGGGCGCTGGCTCGCTGGGCTGCGCTGAGGAAGCGCTCGCTCTCGGTTGCGGCTGCGCTGCGCTGAAGAGAGAAGAGAGAGTGCGGCGAAGAAGAAGAGAGAGAGAGAGCAGCGAGCGAATGGCTCTAGGGTTCGGGAGGACGCGGCCAGACGCCGTTTTTGTTCGACCGAAGACGGCGCGCGACCGTCCGATCAGAACCAACGGCCACGGATGCTCGGGCCGTCGCCGGCCCAGGCGGGCGCGAGCGCGCGCGGCACTTTGTCGGCCCAGGCCCAGGTTGCGGCCTGGGTGCGGCCTGCTGCGCGCAAGGAGGACTGGGCCGAATTGGTTTTTGCCATCTTGGGCCGCGCTGGGCTGAAATGAAAGAATGAAATTTTGTTATTATTTTCCAGGAGTAACTTCAATGCTATTTTGATGAATTTGAATGATTTTGATACAATTTTTCTGTGCAAATTTTATCCAACGATATTTTGCTCAGGAAACAGTGAATTTTTTAGTGCTTCTGGAAAATAATAATATGAAAAGATTATTAATGTTTCCGCTGTGCATGATAATTTTTGTTCTCTTTTGATTAAATTTGAACCAACGGGATAATTTAATTTTAAAAGAAGTGATGAATTTCTGATAATTTTGATGAGATTATGATGTTGTTATTTTCTGACCAACGTTGTTAATAACAATATTATAATTTTGATCCATGAGAAATTGTGCATTAATTTTACTTCTGCCCAACAGTGATGTAAAATGTTTGCATGGACGAATTATAAGTTTTAATTTGACCAACATTGAGTTAAAGCATGAAATTTTATGTATAAATGTTTCTTACTTACTCTGGTGTGATTTCAGGAGGCAAATGCATTGTGAACATTGCCAACATCCCGACACTCAATGGGACCAATCACCGTGTGTGGCGGCAGAAGTATGAATTGGAACTTGCGTTGGGAGAGGTCGATTTTGCCATCACCTCACCGTGTCCTACTGAGCCAGATGACCCGGTGAGAGGTGAAAATGAATCTGACGCTGATTTCGCTGCTCGAAAGCGTGATCATGCTGAAATAAGAATGAAATATGACCTTGAATATAGGCAATGGACTTTCTCCAACCGCAAGTGCCTGTTGGTGGCCAAAGTCACCATAGAAGAACATATAAGGGGCTCAATCCCTGAATGTGCTACTTCCAAAGAATATCTTGAGAAAATCAAGAGTCAGTTTACTAGGTCTACCAATGCCACAGCAAGTTTACTGATTAAGAAGCTTGTGAATGAGAAATTCACTGGTGGTAGCATAAGAGAGCACATTTTGAAGATGAACACTACAGCATCTAAGCTAAAAGAAATGAATTTGAAGGAGGAGGATTTCCTGATTCATTTGATTTTTGCTTCTTTGCCAAAAGAATATGACACCTTCATTGTGAACTACAATATGCAGCCTGAAAGATGGGGCATAGAAAGACTCATCTCAATGTGTGCTCAAGAAGAGGAGAGGATAAAGTCCTCACAAGGTGAATCCGCTCATTTTGTGAAGGATAACAAAAGAAAGAACTTTAATGACAAGAATTTTAAACCACAAGGGAAACCTAAGTGGGATAAGGCCTCTTCCTCCAATTCACAGGGAAAGAAACCCCAGGATTCTGAGAATCGGCAGTATGGTGGAGCTGAAAAGGATCAGTGCAAGCACTGCTTCAAGAAGAGACACTACAAGAGGGATTGTCTAGACTTCCTGAAATCTCTACTAAAGAAAGGTGATGAATTTATTACATTTGTAGATGAATCCCTGTATTTATGTTATGATAAATCCACTTGGTGGGTTGATTCAGGTGCAACTACTCATGTTGCAAATTCCTTACAGGGGATTAAGTGGGATGAGAACTTTGCAAAGAGGAGAAAGAACGATTAAAGTTGCAAATGGAGTGCAAGCCAATGTTGAAGCCATTGGAGTTTTTTCTTTAGAATTGAATAATGGTTTTATACTTAGACTTAAAGAAGTACTTTATGTTCCCTCTTTGCGTAGAAATTTGATAAGTGTTTCGAAACTTGATGATGATGGAATTGATTGCCATTTTGGTGATGGCAAGTGTAAGATACTGGTTAATAATAAATGTGTTGGTCTTGCCTTCCGACAAGACAAGCTTTATTTATTATCTCTTGCTGAGAATGCAAACAATGTATGCGATGAGAATGTGAATGATTCCCCATCTGCGGATGTAACTAAGAAGCGGAAGAGAATTGATACTGTCTCTTCAAAATTATGGCATTGTCGCTTGGGCCATATTTCGAGGGGGAGAATGGAACGATTGGTTAAGGAATCAATTCTCCCGCACTTAGAATTTTCAGATTTAGAACAATGTATTGATTGCATCAAAGGAAAGTATGTCAAGAAAATTAAGAAAGATGTCAAACGAAGCACATAAATTTTAGAAATAATCCACACAGACATATGTGGTCCTTTTCCTGTGAAAAGTGTGGATAGTTATGACTCGTTTATAACATTCACAAGATGACTACTCTCGTTGTGGCAATATTTATCCAATTAAAGAAAGATCGGAAGCATTGGATAAATTCAAAATATTTAAAGCTGAAGTTGAAAATCAGCACAATAAGAAAATCAAGATAGTACGATCAGACCGAGGTGGAGAGTACTATGGGCGACATACCCCATATGGCCAAATTCCTGGACCATTTGTAAGGTTCCTACAGGAAAATGGCATAGTTGCTCAGTACTCCACACCGGAGGAGCCTCAGCAGAATGGAGTGGCTGAAAGACGTAACTGTACCTTAATGGATATGGTAAGAAGCATGATGAGATACTCCACATTACCGATTAGTTTATGGATGGAGGCACTAAAAACCGCCATTCATATACTTAATCGAGTACCAAGTAAATCGGTGCCTAAAACACCGTATGAATTATGGACAGGAAGGGAACCCTCACTTAACCATTTGCGTGTGTGGGGCTGTCCGGCTGAGGCAAAAGTGTTTAACCCAAACATAGGAAAGTTAGACTCCAAGACAGTCCGATGTCATTTTATTGGCTATCCAGAAAGATCGAAAGGATATCACTTCTATTGTCCTGCCAGACATACGAAGATTGTAGAAATAAGACACGCTGTGTTCTTGGAGGATAACATGATCAGGGGGAGCATGGTAGTACGAGAAATTAGCCTACAGGAGAAGCGGGTACATGTACCCACTCTGATGGTTGAAGAACCATTCTTCACGCTACCTGCTGCTGTTGCACCGAAAGTGCAGGACACTGTAGTGCCAACACCCGTTGCAAGTTCTCCCGTGGCGACAATGAATGAACATGAGGAATCTGTCCTTGAGGAACCTATCCTTGAGGAACCTATAGAACCAAATGTTGCACATGAGGAACAACAACAACAGCCCAATGTGGAACAAGTGCGGGAGGCACCTAGAAGGTCTCAAAGAATAAGAAGATCAGCTATTACTGATGACTATGAAGTTTATGAAACAGAAGAATGTCAGATGGGGGATGATCTCACCTCATTTGAAGAAGCCATGAGAAGCGACCACTCATCAAAGTGGCTTAAGGCCATGGAAGATGAATTGAAATCAATGAGTACCAATAAAATTTGGAACTTAGAAAATATTCCTAAAGGAGTCAAAATAGTAGGCTGTAAATGGGTCTACAAAACGAAATATGACTCCCAAGGGAATATAGAAAGATTTAAAGCGCGACTTGTGGCAAAAGGCTTCACGCAAAGAGAAGGGATTGATTACAATGAGACGTTTTCTCCAGTCTCATGTAAACATTCCTTCAGAATTATAATGGCACTTGTAGCCCACTATGATTTGGAGTTACATCAAATGGATGTAAAAACGGCTTTCCTAAACGGGGATTTGGAAGAAAATGTTTATATGACACAACCGAAAGGTTTTGTCGTAAAAGGAAAGGAAAATATGGGATGCCGCCTGAAGAAATCAATCTATGGATTGAAGCAAGCTTCAAGACAGTGGTATTTGAAGTTTGATAGAACGATAAAAGGTTTTGGGTTTGAAGAAAATGTTGAGGACAATTGCATTTATGCAAAGTTCAAGAATGGAAAGTACATATTCCTAATTTTGTATGTGGATGATATCTTGCTTGCTAGTAGTGATATCAATCTACTAATGGAAACAAAGAAATTCTTGTTTTCAAACTTTGATATGAAAGATCTCGGTGGGGCCTCGTTTGTTTTGGGAATAGAGATTCACCGAGACGGGAGAAAAGGGGTTCTAGGATTATCGCAAAAGGCATACATAGAAAAGGTCCTGAAGAAATTTAGTATGCATGCGTGCAATCCTTCACCTGCTCCTATAGTCAAGGGCGATAGGTTTGGGGAACATCAGTGTCTTAAGAACCAATATGAAATTGACCGAATGAAAGTGGTACCGTATGCTTCAGTTGTTGGAAGTTTACAATATGCTTAAGTGTGTACACGCCCTGACTTAGCTTTTGTTACCGGGTTACTTGGTAGATATCAAAAGAATCTAGAAATTGAACATTGGAAATTAGTGAAGAAAGTCCTGTGTTATTTGCAGGGTACGAAAGGACTCATGCTTACGTATAGAAGATCTGATACCCTGTAGATAGAGGGGTATTCAGATTCTGATTATGCGGGAGATAAAAGAAAATCCACGTCAGGATATGTATTTACTCTCGCAGGAGGGGCTATATCGTGGAAAAGCTCCAAACAAACCGTAACTACATCCTCGACAATGTATGCCGAGTTTGTAGCATGCTATGAGGCAACGGGGCAGGTGAATTGGCTGAAGAAATTCATACCCGGATTGAAAGTGATTGATGATATAAATGAACCAATCGAGATTGTATTGTGATAACAATCCAACAGATAGAAGACGCTCACAACAATAGGTCAAGTGGTGCTGCCAAACACATTGACATACTATGTTGTGAAAGATAAAGTTCGGGATCATATAATAAATCTTGAGCATATAAGTACAGAGAAAATGCTCGTGGATCCGCTCACAAAGGGCTTACCACCCAACGTGTTCAGAGAACACGTAGCCGGCATGGGTTTAAGGGAAAGCCTATGATTCCTGAATATACGAAGGGCCCAAAGAAAGTTTACATTTCAAAACAGAGAAGTGTATTGTGACTGTTAGTCTAACGGCACTAATTGCTATGACGATGGGACAGTTCTATGCACTAATCTATGATGAAATAGGATGGAAGCAAGAAAAATATGAATTGAAAGTTTTGAGTATGAAATTAAAGAACGAAGAATAGATGAGAGATCAAGGGGGAGAATGTTAGGTTTGATCTCCCACCGTTAGGGCCCAACGGCCTTTTTGGGCCTTGTTCTCAAGATTTCTCGATCGGGGCGCACAACCCTACATGGTTGGTGGGCCCCATCGCTGACATGGCCGCTTATAAAGGAAAGGTGGGGGCAGGGCTCATTGACGAGGTTCACCGCGCACCTTGACACCACCCCACCGATATCCTAACCCTAACCCGATCTTGAGAAGGGGCGCTGCTAGCAACGGGAAGCACCACCGACGCCGGCAACGCCACCCCGACGCACACGTCGCCGCCGAGGACGCCACTGCACCGACTCTCCCTCTCCACCGAATGTCACTGCCGGCGCACAGATGGCGTCCGCCAACGAGACCTCGGCTGGTGCTTCGACCACTACGGCCTTCGATGGTCTGCTACCTCTCACTCCCCTTCTCTCTGCCTCTCATGCAAATCTTGAACATGTATTCTATTCCTATGCAAAATATCCGGATCTGATGAACTTGACTCGCTTGAGTCCTAAGAAAATACCAACACCTCCTAGCACCGCAGCTCGCCGTGATGGGCGTGTCGGGTGGGTTCAGCATGGTGGGACAGACGGAGTTCTACAACACGCAGTTCCCAAACCAGATGCGCACTCTCGCCAACGCGGCCTTCTACTGTGCGCAGGGCATCAGCAGCTACCTGGCCACGCTCGTGGTCAACATCGTGAACACGACGATGAGGCAACACGGTGGGTCTGCGGGCTGGGTCACTGATGACATCAATGCCGGGAGGATTGACTACTTCTACTATGCCATGGCGGTGCTCACTGGAGCCAACTTCATCTACTTCCTCGTGTGCTCGCACTTCTACCAGTACAAGGGCGAGCAGGCTGCTGAAACTCCTGCTGGACGTGAACCTATAACGGACAGTGGTAGCTTAAGCGAGAGTGACGCCGCAATCCTAAAGACATAGTACAAAGCTAAAGAGATTATATATGTTCCATTCTGATAAATAAATTGGTTATATATCATTCTGATGCTACAACTATAACCAGTATGCACGATTATATAGGACCATATTCCTAAACAAAACAAGTAGCCAACTTGGAGGCGAGGAAACAAACCATAGCGGTAACCCTTAAAACAACCTTAATTAAATTAAGACTATTATTATTTATCTGTTGAAAGATTTTTTTTACTAAATCTGTCAGATTTCTATACATTTGATTGTGCTTTAAAATTTATGCTACAACTGTCTACTAGGTCGCATTTTAAAAAATGGCAAGCCTAGCGTCCGGACGTCCGGTCCTAGGTCTGCGTCCGGACAAGGCTCCCGTTCGACGCACCCGCCGCGTCCCCTCACGTAAATCAAAATAGAATTGCGTCTGCTGCGCCTGTGCAACAGGAGAGCGCGCCCGCCACGCCCACATCACCACATGCCTGTGCCCCTGCTCCAAACCGCGACGTACATAGCCCCCTCCGCCCAGCGCCCATCCCGCTCTGGAGGCAGGTCTGTCCATACGGAGCTCCCTCGCTTGCGCTTGACGCACGCAACTCCCTCGTCCTGCGCCCATCGCGCGCATCGTCCATCCCTATTCGTATGAATGCCCTGTCATCTCCGGGAGAGACTATGCAGTAGAAGGTGGGAGGAGGAGAGATGCAATACCTGATCTACTTTCCTGAAACAATTGAAACATACAATTATTGCAACATAGAGGGAGAGACAGAGTGAGCGCGCCTGGCACGGGGAGTGCCATGGCTGCCGAATCTGAGGGCATTGGGAGCTCCCAGTGGGGGAGGACACCGGTGTGGGGGGAGGGGTGGCGCCGGGGTGGGGGGACGATGCCGCGGTGGGGGAAGGAGCCGCCGGGGGTTGAGGAACATAGGGGAGGGGAAGGTTGCGCCGGTCGATTCTGGCCGTCGGGGGTCGGTGGCAACGGCCGGCGGTGGCTACTCTGGAGCCTGGCCATTGTCGGTGGTGGCGATGAGGACCGCCGCGATGGTCGACGACGACGGCCCGCATGCTGCCGCAGTAAAGCCACCGCTTCCACATCGAGTGCCGGGGTGGGGGAAGGGGCCGCCGAGGTGCGGGAGAAGGCCACCGAGGTGGGGAGGAGGACACCGGGGGTGGGGGAGTGCGCCGCTGCCGGCCAGGGAAGCGGCCATGGCCGCGCATCGGTGTAGCGCGCGAGGCGCGAGCCATGGAAGGAAGAAGGAAGCGAGGGACTGAGTGCGTGGGTGTGGGAGTGAGCGAGTGAGATGAGTTGGGTAGCGGTGGTCGTAAATTGATGTTGGGCCGATCGGGGATCAGGCCTAGAACGACGGGTCCGACATGGACACGCCCGGATGGACGCCCTCACCCTCACAGAAGTATTATCGTTTAAAAAATCTGACAGATTTAACCACATAGGCCATGTTCGCTTCTCTTATAATCCGTACTTTTCAGCTTATGTTTTTAGCCGGAACATTGTTTTTCTCTCACAACAAATTAACTGGAACAGTGTTTCGGCTTGTTTTTTCAGCGAAGCGGGCGGGGCCATAAAAATACGTGGACACATAACTAGACACTCCCTTCAATTAATTTCAAACCTTGTCGTCTTGGTTAAAAGTTAAAACTGGTACTGATCATGACCCTTTTAGGTAGCGATGGTTTCTCTTTGATGCAGTCCAACACGACCCACAAATCGCTCACTTGTACTCTTGGCAATTGGCATTAACACCAGTGGCTCGTTCACTTGTTGGTGCTGTCCTCACCACACTACCCTCCGAATAACCAGCAACCAATGTTAGCCAACAGTGACGCTCGCGTCTTGACCCATGCATGCGAGACACGTACTCGTCCCCTCCGTCTTCCTCTTCGTCGTCGCGCTCTGTACCATCGTCCTACCCCCGCCTCGGTGGCCAAGGTCGACGTCGTTCTTCTAGTAGTCTTGGCTGCCTTCGGTCAACAGAAGAGAGCACGGCGACAGCACCAACGGCCACCCATGCAACTATTCAGACGGATGATGGGTGAGCGACGACGATGCTGCCGACGTGACGACCTACACGGAGGACTACCCGTTCCTGGACCCCGGCTTCCGGTGCACGCGCGAACGTAGGACTTCGTCCTTCCAAGATCGGGCGCGGCGACCTCGCCGTTGTGACCTCCCTAAGTATGTAGCCCCGCCATGTCACGACATCTTCATCTTCTTCGGATGTCCTAATAATCGTGACACGATATCAATGGTTTAAGTTGTTTATTAGGCTCAACGCGATGGACATGCCGGAGCGAGCCGAACGGTAGGATCGTCTTCGCGGGGACTCGATCGGTCGGAACCGGTGGGAGTCCATGGTGTGCATGCTCGCCACCGCCGCCGTGCCGCCCACGGCCAGCCGCGGTAGCGCGTCGTCGTCGAGTGTACGAGTGGTCCGGGAAGCCGATCACCGGCACAAGGGCTACCTCGCCATGGTTTTCGCCGACTACAACCTCTCTGTCTAGTACTACCGCGCGCCCATGATCATGATGGTCCATTGCTTCCCGGCCCCAAACGCGACAGGCAGCGGTGTGAAGGGAGCCATCTGCCTAGACGTGCTCCCACGGCATGCCGATCGGTGGGCCGGAGCTGACGTGCTCGTGCTTAACACCGGCCACTGGTGGAACCAGCATAAAACCGTCAAGGCGTACGTATGCATGCATGCCATGGTTATTTTGTACCCTCTGGGTGGCCCCATTCGCTGGTCTGAAACTTGGCTGAAACTGGCTGAAAAACACTGTTTTGGCTAAATTGTTGTGAGAGAAAAATACTGTTACGGCTGAAAAAAGAAGCCGAACAAGCCGAATATGGGGTAAGCCGAACGGGGTCACTAATTTGAGGTTGTTGTGCGTGTGTGGCTCATGAGCAGAGGAAACTATTTCATGGTTGGCGACCGCTTGAATAAAACCATGGACATCAAGGATGCTTTTTTATGGTCCCTACAAACGGTGAAAGATTGGGAATTGAGTAGTACTCGATTTTCCAAAAGCTATTTCTTCTTCATGAGCTATTCTCCCTCGCATTACAGGTAAGTTAAGCTAAGTGGTGTTAATTGCATTGTGATAAAGAGAACTGTGGCTTATGGTATGACAATATATATGGTCTAGCAATTGCGACTATTTGAGGATATCTCCATGGTTATAATGCTCAATCAACAATCTATATTTTAAAAAATAAACCTAGTGAACTTTAATTTTCTTCGTGAGTTATTCACCTAGGTAATTGCAGGGCTAAACTTTCTAGTCGATCGTAACCATGATTTTTCTGCACCTGAAAATGGTAGCAATGGCACCTGGGACACCGGTGGTTCGTGCGCCAGCTAGCGAGAACCACTACTGACCACTAACGTCCACTCAAAAGAGGCATCGGTCGCCTCGGGAGGGTCGAGGGATCTCTCAACCACACGCGACGAAGTAGAGGAAGAGGTACCCCTGTCTCCTTCTCCACCCCTGCCTCCTCCACCTGTACCTCCTCCTCCTCAGAGGATGAGTGAGCGGAAGGTAACTCAGACGGCGACGAAGGTACAGGCGACGGTGGCCTCGTCTTGCCTCCACCCTTCCCTCGACCCCTAGGTCTACCCCGAGGTCTCTTCCCAAACCCCTCAGCTGCATCAGACCCTTTACGCGTCGCTGTCACTTTTGAGTAAAGCGACGTTATCCTCTTCATACCGCCCACCATTGTTCAATCACTTGCAATTAAAAATAGTAAACCAATTAGCATAGATAATACATCAAAATAGATGCAAAATAAACAAAACATACTTAGAAAATAACATGGTATGATAAATAATAAATCAATTAGCACGGATCATACATGTATTAGAAATAATCATCATGATCTGGATTAGCTGGATCATAAGTCTCATCATCACTATCACGCATGTCGATATAATCATCCCCGTGCTCCGAAGGAGGAATGTCGTCATCACTGTCATTGCTTAGATGTAATCACTGAAGTAATTCTAAGTCCTTCACATTCTGAATCTCGTCTTTGGCGTCCCCGTCAGCACCACTTTCATTGTCTACTTCCATACCCTAAGCTTCGGTTAAGTCTATCTCAAAACTCCCTTCGAGCCCATCTTCTTGAAAGAACTCTCCGTCATATGTGTTGGGGTCTATGTTGTAATCTTGATTGTTTGGGACAGGTAGTTTACCGTGTGGCGATACCTTGTACACAACATCCCAACCCTTAAGATGGTCTATAGTTTGGCACAGGTATGAGAGATAATAAACTTGCATGGCCTGTTGAGCCACAATATAGACATCGTCTCCTGGTAAGACGGATGATTGTCAAATTTCGACTAGCCCAAGATTAGGGGTCCGCCTCACTACTTTAGGATCAAACCAATGGCATTTGAATATAACAGGATTAAGAGGTTTGCAACCATGAAATATGAGTTCGTATATTTCTTCAATTCTTCCATAATACTCAACCCCATCTAAGCCTTGCGTAAAAACTCCGGTATTTGTGGTTCTTTGATTGGGCCAACTCTGCTCGTGGCTTGTTGTGTGAAAGCGATATCCATTCACGTCATAACCGGTAAATGACCTGACCCAATAGGCACAACCATCGGCAACCTGTCTCAACTCGGCACTCATAGACGCATCGGTTTGTCCCTACAAGTTCAAGCAGGGTAGTTCGTTATATTAGTCGCACATATGAGCAACTTGTAATGTCAAACTAAGTACGAGCCAAATTGGACAGTACCTTCTGTTTGAACCAAGAAATGAAATTGGGCATTCCATTTCCCGCACCCTTTCTAAGAAGGGTCGAAGTTTCCTACGGGGTAGGTTCCCTTGATTCACGCCAGAATTGTTCATGAAATTCCCTATACCAATGAGAAACAAGGGAGTTGGACACAGAATTGTGACTACTTGAGAAAAAGTTTGTTGAGAACTTACAGCATGTACGGCTCCACTTCGGATAGGTTGGTCAACACATATAGCATAATAGTGCGCCA